TTTACATGATGGTAGGATTACTGGTGTCCATTTTTCTGTCTCATAAACATGCAAGGTTTCAGGTACATCTTGCTACTTCTACTTACACTTAGGTCACTCTACAAATACATGTACAAGCATATATATATATACACACCCCTCTCGGTTTTCTTCTATTTTCTTACTAGTTCTTGTTTATTTCCTCTTGCCTCCATGGGGAAGTGGAACAGAATTCTTCCTCCGTAAGCCATGCGTGTTGTAAAAGGTGACTAAAATGCCAGGAGCAAGGGGCTAGTAACCCCTTCTCCTGTATATATTACTAAATGTAAAAGGAGAAACTTTCGTGTTTCCTTTTAGGGCCACCCCGCCTCGGTGGGATACGGCTGGTGTGTTGAAAAGATAGAATAATAATAATTAATATTATTATTGTAATAATGAACGCCGCCAACTCAGTGCACTGTTTACCTCGCTGTGGGAGCAATTCTCTTATGGTTTGCTTACATTTTTGACAGTCATTTGGCCAAATTTCATTTTTCTGAGCATGGGTCCTAAGAAAATAAGTGTACATCAGTGACCTACCGAATGCATCACAACTACTCGAACCCATATTATTTGCAGATGACACAACATACGTCTTCTCTCACCCAAACCCAGTCATACTGGCCAACACTGTTAATGCCAAATAGCAGAAAATATCTACCTATACAATGACTAATAAGCTTGCCCTCAATACTGACAAAACCTATTTCATTCAGTTTGGAAACAGAGCTGCAAATGTTCCACTTAACATAACGCTAAATGGATCACCCATCACAAGACTCTTGGAGGGAAAATTCCTAGGAATCCACCTTGACAGAAGCCTGAAATTCCAGGTACATACACAACCAATTTCCAAGAAAATCCCTAAGACAGTTGGCATACTATCAAAGATATGGTACTATGTTCCACAATCATCTCTCCTTGCACTGTATCATTCGCTCATCTACCCTTATCTCACATATGGAATTTGTGCATGGGGATCAACAACATTAAATCACCTAAGACCACTAATAACCCAGCAAAAGGCTGCAGTCGGAATGATAACAAATTTCCACTCCCGACAGCCTACTCTACTAACATTCAGAAGTCTAAAACTGCTAACCGTAAAGAACATTCATACTTATTCATGTGCCTACTACATACATAGAACACTACACTCAAACATAAACCCTCCACTCAAACTTCTCTTCACCAACCTTAACAGGACACATGACCATAACACCTCGAGTCCATATCACACTTTGTAAAAGCTCTATGAACATAAAGGGCCCAAAAATTTGGAATTCATTACCAGTAAATACTAAAGTAATCCAGTCTGAACATCAATTTAAGACTTTTCTCAAAAACCACTTACTCACCCTAAACTAAATATTTAATACTCTATATTTAACTTTACCAAAAATCTCCCAATTATCTAAATTCTAAAATTTCAAAACAAGATTCCCAAAGTTCATACATTGATTAATAATAATACATTGTAGTAAAAATACCTACCCAAAACAATACTGCCTTACACCCATTTGTACCATTCTCATACTGTAAACTATTTTCAACAACTCATAATGTTATATTCCCATAATATAATTTCAATATTTATTATTGAAACTATTGTAATTGAGTACAATTAATGTCTACTATAAATAAAAACAGATGTACAACTTAAACAAACTATGGTCAATTTATTTAGTATTAAGTAGTCTGTATCGTAGGGGTTCTTAAATGGAGATATCGAGGGTTGAAGGTAGACACACTTGTTGGATGGTAACATATATTGTCAGACTGTGATGATGGGAAATGGAGCCCAGTCTCTGCCTGTCCTAACCTGTGTCTAACGCCGACTGAGGCCGAGGCAGAGGTACGAACGTACACATGCGCATCCCGTGATGTCACACAGTCACAGGCCTAAAAGGGATCTCCTATCTAAAGCACATGGATGATACTATATGCTATGCTATATAACACAGGGATCAGCAACCATGCTGACAGTCTGTAAGCCATCAAATTAAGTCTGCCCATAATGCCTATGCATGATGATGGCCCTCTTTGCACTGCAACTCATTATTGTAATTTCATAATCTCAATGTAATCTTGCAAAGAAATAAAATTTGTTTGTTTTTTGTAAAGGACAGTGCTGAGAAGAAAAAGAGGATGATTTCCATGGAATTAAAGCATGAAATCATAGATAAACAAGTGAAGTGTCCACGTTTTGGGTTGAGGGGGAAGTTGGGGGCAGCTGGCTCGTAACTTAGATGTTGGCTCGTAACTCGGAGTAAAAAATCGACTGAGCGACAGCTCGTATCTCAAAAAAATCGTACGTTGGGACACTCTTAAGTCAAGGTTCCACTGTATTTGCTAAGAGAATACAATTTATGGGTGATATAACTGATACAATACAGACAGTAATTTGTGCAAGTCTTATAGTGAGGGTTTTTCAGTAATAATTTTTCTTGAGTTTTTTGAAGTTGTATAATATCTAGGATGCTTTTGTTATTTATACAAGTAAGAGTAAATCTTCTCTATATAATTCAAAAAGAATACCAAATTTTCAAGAAATAAGGGAATTACAGTAGCTTATCATGAACACTGTGACTGGAGTACAGTCAGCTTTCCCTAATTAAGAGGAGATTACATTCTTAAAGGCTCCACAAATTCAAAATCCACAGATAATACCGAATTTTACGGACTCAATAAAAAAGAATAAAATTTGCGTTAATATTGGGTTTCAGAGGTCTTATGTTTTTAAATATATTTCTTATCTGGTTAATATTTCAAATTCATAAGAAAGAATGAGTATGGGAAGTCGAACATATTTTGAACAACATTCTCTAATTTTATTTAAATTTAGGCATTGTGTGCCAAGCTCCTAAAAATGGGCAATAGGATTTAGGTTGGGGTTTCCCATGAGTAAATAGTGATTGATACTCTAATTCCATGAATAAGGATTCTTGTGAATTTGTAGAGGTTAACTATTGAAATGTAGTACGTATTCTTAATTCTAAGGTGTTGACATATAAAAAAAAAAAAAAGAAGAAATAATAATGAAAAGCATCTTTAATGTTCTTGGGTAAAGTTTTTCACTCTGAAAAAATTTGTGGATATGTACATTTTTAATATTAGCTTTTATTTATTATTGTATTATAGCATAAAACATAACTACTGATTAATATACTGGTATTACAGAATGAGTGGGATTTGAGCCCCATGCATTATTTGTAAAAACTCATTCTTGATTGGATTAGCATCAAACAGTCCTATAAAATGCTTGATTTGAGCAAAGAAAAACTCAAAAACACCTAATGTTTATTAAGCATTACTCGAAGAAATAGTGGATGATATGGTTTTAGTAAACAGTTGACCCATGAACAACATGGGGGTTAGAGGTGCTGACACCCCCATGCAGTAAAAAATCCGCACAAAGCTTTTGACTCTTCAAAAACGTAACTACTGATAGCCTACTGTTGACTGGCAGTCTTACCAATAACATAAACAGTCAATTAACACGCTTTTTGCATATGTGTTATATACTCTATTCTTACAATAAAGTAAGCTAGAGGAAAAATGTTAAGAAAATTACAAGAGAAAACACATTTGTGGTACTGTACTGTATTTATCGATACCGTAGGTTTACATTGACTGTTTACAAGGTGAATCGTCTGTCTGTCAGTGCCTACATCAGTATTGTCTTATATGATACAAAACACTGTAGATGTTATACGTATTACTAACACTGCAATAAGAACAGGAGGTGGCTAAGAAATTATTTCACTAGTACAGTATGCAGTATGTACTACAGTTAATTTTATGCAGTTATAATTTAATATTGCATCTTTGTTTACATTTCTCTCAACTGTGAATGGTGCCATGTATGATCTGTATTTGTGTGCATAAGTTTTGATAAATTTTGTGTATATTGTGTGTAGTAATTGATAAAATGGACTAGGATCTACATACATTTTATGCATTCATGACATATCTAACTTTTTCTTAATTTTTTCAATATTTCTAGGCTACGCAGTTTTTTACAAGTTTTTTTCAAATTGTCGCAAATCTCCAAAAATATATTTTTTCAAAAAGTCTGCATATAAGTGGACCTGCACAGTTCAAACGCATGTTTTTCAAGGGTCAACTGTACTGTTGTTGTATATTTAGCTTTTTTTAATTAATTGTCAACAAATTTGTTCATTAAAGGTGCTATGGGGGTATTACCACAGTAATTTATTTGTGCAGTGTTGTGATTATTTGCTTTATGTGTAATTTTCATTTTGCTGTTTAGTTTTACATTTACTGTACTATAGTTTCCTTTTATAAACAGTTGTCCATTGAATTGGAGCCTGTTTTGCCACAATCTTGCTAGTAAATCATTGCTTATCAAGTTCCATCTGTGGGAAGCTGGACTGGTTTTTCAAAAACAAGATAATATGCAGCATTTTTCTTTATGGTTCTTATTGTTTGCATATTCATTTTCCACATTAACAGTCGAGGTGATCTGTTCAAAAATATACAGGTGAATAATGTTAATAAAATGGCTAATAAGGTATCACTGGATAATTGATGATCTGTAATTTAAACATCTTGAATTTTGTTTACAAATTTGTTATTGCATATATTAAGCATCTGCTTAATACATTCAAAATGTGGTTATGTAATTTAGCATCTTAAGGAATGCCTTGCTTATTTTTTATGCTGCTTGTGATAATCATCTTAAATGAAACCAGTTGAATAAAATTTTAGCAAAGTACTGAATCTCGGTATTTTCTGTAGTATACAGGATTAAGTTAGATTTCATGTCTTGCATATATCAGATGCAAATATATAATGCAACCTGTACTTTGAGCACGAAATACAGTAAATATATTATCTAATAACATGACTGAAATTTTTTAGCTTAGGTTTAGTAGTTAACTTTACTTGCCATTTCTCTTCATTTTTCCATTTAGAATATGACGAAATTTAATTTTTTAATCCCTGTAAACATTTTTCAGTACTTCCAAATCCACCAGAGAATTTAGCGAGTACAGTTATTGGCCCTTATGAAGTTGAACTATCATGGACACTGCCACACCCAATTGATGTATTTAATAGTACTATTTATGAGGTTTCGTACAGAAAGCATCAAGACGGAGACCAGTTGGAGGATGTTCCTTGGATTTTAGTAAGTTTTGGTGTACTGTAGCACTTGTTACTGTGCAGGAGCTTCATTTTTTTTAAAATGGCAAGAAATAAATATAATATGCTTGGTAGACTAACAAGGTCTAGAAGAATGCATGATGAATTTGATTAATTCAATACTTTAAAGATGCATTGTCTTAATTATTAAACTAGCATCTGAAAGTTTTTTTTTTAACACAATGGCCTTGGCCTTCTGCCACTGATGCAGGGTGACCCAAGAAAGAAACACTTTCACCATTATTCTCACTATCACTGCCTTGCCAGAGGCACACAGGTACAACAGTTTAGATGTCCCTCCAAACAGCAAATATTCCCATCCCCTTTTTCAGAGTGCAGGCACTGTACTTTTCACCTCCAGAACTCAAGTCTGGCTAACCAGTTTTCCTGTATCCCTTCACAAAATATTACCTTGCTCACACTCCAACAGCTTGTCAGGTCCCAAAAACCATTTGTCTCCACTCCTATCTAACATGTTCTCACATACCTGCTGGATGTCCAAGCCCCTCACACACAAAATATCCTTTACTCCCTCCCTCCAGCCTTTCCTAAGGCAACCCTTACCCAACCTTCCCTCTGCTACAGATATGTACACACTCCAAGTCATTCTAAAGATAAAAGGAAGATAAAGATAAAGATTTTATTTCTTTGCAATGTTTACAATGTGTGATTACAATTTTAATTTGTTAAGTACAAAGAAAGCCACCGTCATGCAGGGGCATTTTGGGCAGATCTTCTTAATACATTCTTCTTTAAGTGTCCAAACCACCTTAACAACCCTTCCTCAGCCCACACCTCCTCCTATTGTCCACGCTTTGAATTCTCTGCATAGTAGTTACACCACACATTGCCCTCAGATACATTTCTACTGCCTCCAGCCTCCTCTCTGCAACATTTACAACCCATACTTCACATCCATATAAGAGTGTTGGTACCACTATACTCTCGTACATTTCCCTTATTGCCTACTTAGATAACATTCATTATGGGATAAATTTGTGGACATTATATATTCATTTGAGGAAGGAATAATTTTATTATTAAATATTTAGTTACATTTGTGTCCTCTTTCTCACTCATTATATTTCTTATGAGCTATCATTAGGCACAACAATGGTAGAATTACATCTTGAGTGGCCTTATCACCATTAGGCTGGAATTTCATGTGAATGTAGAATAAAATACTGTTTACAATTGACGGTCAGTGGTTGCAACTAACAACCAGACTCTTGCTGCTTTCTCATTTTTGATTTAGGCACATTGGGCAGGCAGCTAGGAGAAAGGCAAGCACAAACTACTTACTTGATACTAACAGCTTGAATTTTAGGAATTTAACCCAACTGATTTTCCCCCATTTAAATTTTTCTGGTTTGTCTTGCAATTTTTTGTCATCTATCTTATTCATTTTAGACATAATGAAAAGAAGAATAATCCTGCCTGAGTGCAAAACATTCAACACACATTTGTTTCACACTCCTTGGAGGGTAGTACCTCCTGGGATGGGCTGTCTACAAACACCCTAATAAAATAATAGGGTATGAAAATTAGTAAAAGGAAAGTGCTTGGTTAAATCTCATTTGAATAAGTTATTTGTTCTCAAAGGATTATACAGAAAAAATATGAGCTTATTTTGTTGGCATTTTCTTGTGTATTAAAAATAATCTTGGATACAAAATTTTATTTCACTCTGAGCAGTAATTTGGAAAATTTGTAATTTTGTTTTAAAAGGCTTTGTGTTCTTAACCCTTGTAGATTTTGGCATGAAACACACACAGATCATATAGCCCCAATCTTTAATATATATCTGGAAAGCTACGCTATTTATATTATGTCTAATGTTAAGTAGTGGAGGGAAGGCGGGGTAGAGGTCGTTCTAGGAAAGGATGGAAGGAGGGTATAAAGGAGTTTTAGTGTGCAAGTAGTCCCTTTATATAAAGGGACTAAGAGGAATAAGTTTACTGAGTATACCAGGAAAAGTGTACGGTAGGGTTATTATTGAAAGAATTAGAGGTAAGACAGAATGTAGGATTGCGGATGAGCAAGGAGGCTTCAGAGTGGGTAGGGGATGTGTAGATTAAATGTTTACATTGAAGCATATATGTGAACAGTATTTAGATAAAGGTAGGGAAGTTTTTATTGAATTTATGGATTTAGAAAAGGCATATGATAGAGTGGATAGGGGAGCAATGTGGCAGATGTTGCAAGTATATGGAATAGGTGGTAAGTTACTAAATGCTGTAAAGAGTTTTTATGAGGATAGTGAGGCTCAGGTTAGGATGTGTAGAAGAAGAGGAGACTACTTCCCGGTAAAAGTAGGTCTTAGACAGGGATGTGTAATGTCACCATGGTTGTTTAATATATTTATAGATGGGGTTGTAAAAGAAGTAAATGCTAGGGTGTTTGGGAGAGGGGTGGGATTAAATTATGGGGAATCAAATACAAAATGGGAATTGACAGTTACTTTTTGCTGATGATAATGTGCTTATGGGAGATTCTAAAGAAAAATTGCAAAGGTTAGTGGATGAGTTTGGGAGTGTGTGTAAAGGTAGAAAGTTGAAAGTGAACATAGAAAAGAGTAAGGTGATGAGGGTATCAAATGATTTAAATAAAGAAAAATTGGATATCAAATTGGGGAGGAGGAGTATGGAAGAAGTGAATGTTTTCGGATACTTGGGAGTTGACGTGTCAGCGGATGGATTTATGAAGGATGAGGTTAATCATAGAATTGATGAGGGAAAAAAGGTGAGTGGTGCGTTGAGGTATATGTGGAGTCAAAAAACGTTATCTATGGAGGCAAAGAAGGGAATGTATGAAAGTATAGTAGTACCAACACTCTTATATGGGTGTGAAGCTTGGGTTGTGAATGCAGCTGCGAGGAGGTGGTTGGAGGCAGTTGAGATGTCCTGTCTAAGGGCAGTGTGTGGTGTAAATATTATGCAGAAAATTTGGAGTGGAAATTAGGTGTGGAGTTAATAAAAGTATTAGTCAGAGGGCTGAAGAGGGTTTGTTGAGGTGGTTTGGTCATTTAGAGAGAATGGATCAAAGTAGAATGACATAGAGAGCATTTAAATCTGTAGGAGAAGGAAGGCGGGGTAGGGGTCGTCCTCGAAAAGGTTGGAAGGAGGGGGTAAGGGAGGTTTTGTGGGCGAGGGGCTTGGACTTCCAGCAGGCGTGCATGAGCGTGTTTGATGGGAGTGAATGGAGACTAATGGTATTTGGGCCCTGACGATCTGTTGGAGTGTGAGCAGGGTAATATTTAGTGAAGGGATTCAGGGAAACCGGTTATTTTTATATAGCTGGACTTGAGTCCTGGAAATGGGAAGTACAATGCCTGCACTCTAAAGGAGGGGTTTGGGATATTAGCAGTTTGGAGGGATATGTTGTGTATCTTTATATGTATGTGCTTCTAAACTGTTGTGTTCTGAGCACCTCTGCAAAAACAGTGATTATGTGTGAATGAGGTGAAAGTGTTGAATGATGATGAAAGTATTTTCTTTTTGGGGATTTTCTTTCTTTTTGGGTTACCCTGCCTCGGTGGGAGACGGCTGACTTGTTGGAAAAAAAAAATATCAGGGAAACCAGTTAGCAAGACTTGAGATCTGGAGGTGAGAAGTACAGTACAGTAGGGGCCCCGCTTTATGGCATTTTGCGTTATAACCTTCCGCTAATATGGACATTTCAAATTATGACCAAAACTCGCTTTGCGGCTCCCCCATCTGACTTTCTAATGTGGTCACCATGCCCCACCTGGTTTGTTTGCATTTTCTGTGAGCTCTGTGAGCACCACGTCTCTCCATTATGTTTGGAAACTTTCCAAAATTTCAAGTGTTTTAAAGTTATTTCATGTTTGACTAAAGACTTACTGACTTGACTGAATGACTTACTGACTTGACTGAATGACTTACTGACTTGACTGAATGACTTACTGACTTGACTGAATGACTTACTGACTTGACTGAATGACTTACTGACTTGACTGAATGACTTACTGACCTGACTGAATGACTTACTGACTTTTGATTGAATGACTTAATGACTTGACTGAATGACTTACTGACTTGACTGAATGACTTACTGACTTGACTGAATGACTTACTGACTTAACTGAATGACTTAAAGTTAGAATTTTTCACTGAAAAGGACCCTGAAATGGTGTCTAGAGCAGCTGATGCCTTACAGTCAATTGTATAATGTACTGTAGGGTAAAATAGAACAGAAAACCATTACAAAATTTATGCACAAGTATGACCATCGACTTCAGTAACAAAACCTCTACCATCCACCTCAGCCCAGTAGGGCCACAGCATAACTCTCCACAATCATCCACAAACACCAGCACCCACAATTTAAGGTAAGAAATACTATTATTTCTGTTGCATTTGTAATCTTAAGCAGTAAAAACAACATAATACATCACAATAATGAACTACAATTGCATATTCACTTTTATTTTTATAAGATCTGTTGGTCTAAAAAAAAATGTTTGGATTTTTGGGGGCTCCCAGGAATGTAACCCTATTTTTTCCATAAGTTCTCCAATTCATCTTACACGATTTTATCTAACAAAGCATTTTTAGGAATACAACTGTGTTAAATGACCGTCTGCTGTATAACATACCTCTCCAAACTGCCAATGTCCCAAACCTACTTTAAAGTGCAGGCATTGTACTTCCCATTTCCAGTACTCGAGTCCGGCTATATAAAAATAAACGGTATAAAATTATTTGTGACCACTGTCAGCCTCAGAGTTATCTCTGAGTTACCAGACCTTGCCATGTGGAGGCCAGTGATTCGTCAAAAAAGAATTTGAGTGCTGTGTCTTATAACTTAGCTTATACTTATATGTACCTGTACCTAAATAAACTTACACGCTGTGCTGGCGTGCAGGTACACATTAAAATCACTAGGAGTGTCTCATTTGTCTTGAAGATGCCATATTAATAATGATAATAATAATAATGCACAATAATAATCACTGAGGTGCAT